GGCAGGGGAACGGTCCTCCGCCACAAAAAAACAAGGCAGACTTCTTCTTCGTCCTTCGCTTCCATCTCCCGGCGTTTCCCTCGGAGATTATTTCCTCAGGGCTCCCTTTGGAGAGGCGAACTGGCTCAGGAGCTCCACGCCGAGTTGTGGTGTCCCCTACGGGCCCGTCCCGGCTCGCTGCGGTAACGAGGAGGTTGGGAAGGGTGTCCGAGACTACCTAGGTGGTCACGCTTCATAGAATAATAGAATCCGTTAGGTTGGAAGAGACCTCCAAGATCATCAGGTCCAACCATTGAGCCATTAGGGCTCTAAAGTCCTCTGCTAAAACAGATCAGAATCTGTCAGGGTTGGAAGGGACCACAAGGGTCACCCAGTTCCAACCCCTCTGCCATGAGCAGGGACACCTCCCACTAGATCAGGCTGCCCAGAGCCTCCTCCAGCCTGGCCTTAAAGACCCCCAGGGATGGGGCCTCAACCACCTCCCTGGGCAACCCATGCCAGGGTCTCACCACTCTCCTGGGGAAGAACTTCTTCCTCACATCCAGCCTGAATCTGCCCACTTCCAGCTTTGCCCCATTCCCCCTAGTCCTGTTGTTACTCAATAACCTAAAAAGTCCCTCCTGTGTCCTGTACTTGCCCTTCCTCTTGCCCAGAAGGTAACGGAACGGGCTCATTTTTGTATCATTACAGCTGACAACAAATTCACCCTTATCCCACCAACTTCTCAGGTGTAGAAGTCCCTGTGGCTCAGAGCTCAGCCTTACTGCTGAAAGCAGCTTGTGTTAGTGACAGCAGCAGGACACAGAGCAACTTTCCACGTTGCCAGCCCTTATCACCAGACACCTAAGCCATGACTCAGATGGCCACCTTCTGAGAGATGCAACAGTAACACAGCTGAGGAAGCAGAGTACCTGCCCTCAAGACTTCTCCCCCAAAATTCCTGTGATATATTTAACCTTCCAGGTGACTTCGCCAAACACACGCCAGCCTTGCAGCCTGGACCTCATCTCCTCTGTCAGTCCAGGCTTGAAGCAACACCTGATTTTTCTTTCAGAAAGAGAGGAGGACATGCATCAGGCAGCTCCTCTTCATAGAGGTCTTGGGGGAAAGTAGCAGGCTTCCTCTAAGGCCTCAAACCTCCATGCAGGTCCAGGCACAGAGTGCACATCAGACTTCCCAGCTTCTACAGCTTTCAGCCAGTGCTTGTTGGCTGTCTTCTCTCTTACTCTCCACCAAATTAATCCAGAGCCAATGGCCACAGAAAACTGGTCCCTACAGAACTGCCTTTTTTCAGCCCCATTCAACCAGGAACAGTGCCCCAAAGTGAGCCAGCTGTGGCTGCTGGAGACTGCTCTGGTCTGGGTTGTCCTGTGGGCAAGGTCATCATCTTCACTTCTCTTTGCATGCTGCTTTACTTGACTCACCTCTGCATTTAATCCCCCCAGGATCAAGCTTTTGCTAATTCATCTCTGCATGTACCTCTCAAGAAACCACAGCAGATGTCTAACTTCACACTTCCCTCAGCTTTGCTGTCCTTCACTATAAAGTGACTTTACTTCTCTTTGCTGCCTCAGCCTTATACCCCTAAACCTCCTCCAAATCATTTCCAGAATCCTCACACCCTTTCCCATTCTTTGTACTTAACATTACCATATTAGACTTATTTACAACTTTAAAAGAAAAACCTTATTATATTTATAAAACAAATGCTATGGACTTAACAGCAGCAAATATTTGCTATTTTGCCATGACAAAGCCATCCATTGGGAAGCTCTGTGATTTCTCTCATATTTTACATTAATCAGAATCAGTATTACTCAGATTCAGCTGAAAAACTTATCACTGGAATCTTTATCAGTGGGAATTTCAGATACACTTAGTGAGACACGTGGCAGCCAAACTGATTAAAGCACATTTAAATTGTTCCAAAAATCAGCTATTTGTTTAGTACTAAGAGTTTCTAAGCACCTTATAATTTTCATTGAAGCCCCTCACACACTCCCCAAATCACCTGGTTTTCACTAACTCTCAGCTTATAGGGAATAAAATCTATTTTCTTCAACAGTTCTGAGGAGTTATTGTAAGCTTACAATGCCACCTACTGACAATTAGAAACAGGAACCAAGCTCTTCTGTCAATCCAAAGTCAGGTTTTCCATTGAGTAATTTCCTTTCCATTTCCTTGTTTTTATCAACTGTTCTGATGGCTGAATGCACATCTTCTAAATATTTGCTTCTAGCTAGTATCTTTCCACCAGCTTTCATCTTCCAAGGGCTACTCTCTCCACTTCTGAAATAGGGTGAAATTTCTTTCAAATTTTCCAAGCTCTTTCAAGTCTGACTAATTGGACAAAAAGTAGCTAATCCCTTCCCAGTTATTAGAACTGGAGAGACTATTTGAGCCTTCTCCTGTCCTAGATAAGCACAGAATTTCTCTTAACAAACTCATACATAACACATTTGGACACACAAGCTTAAGATTCAGAAACTTTAATGACTAGCTAATGTTTTCCATACCCTTAAAACCCATCCCTGAGTCTGTTAAATGACACTGAAGAAATACAAACACCTCTGCAAGAGGCAGCACTGTAGTCAAAGCAGGCTCTGATCCAGGGGGCATTAGAACTGAGGCTGGAAGTCCTTCCAGCTTTTTGCAGTGCTATTCCTTACCCTCCATCTGCTTTATCTATTGATATGACCTCAAAACAGTCTTCTGGTGTGTGAAGGGTGTTTGTAAGTAGTAGGTGAAGAGAACTATAGCCCTTTATGGGACCCTCACACATTACTAAGATATAAATAATGGTAGAATGGGATTCATTTGGAAGGCTGAGGTAATATCCAGTCAGTTTTGCTGGATGGAGGGCCAGTCATCCTGGTTGTCTTTGTTCTGAGGAGGTCCCTGGGGAGAAGCACCCATAGCTGCACACAGCTCCTAGGATCAGGCTGGAGCAGAGCACTGTGGCAAGGAGGGTCACGACACACACTAAGGCACTGTGTTGCCTGAGCCCCACTGGAACCTGCAGAATCAACTCCTCCTGAGCCTACAAAGAAAAAGAAATGGATTACACACATTTAGCAAGGTATTTTTTTGGGGGGGCTTCAACTTACAGAATTAGTAACTGTATTAAGTAGCCCTTTGCTAAGGCTTCTCCTGGGATTCAAAGTCAGAACTGAGGTGGAACATCAACTTTCAATTCACAGCAAATGGAGAACCAGCAGCTTCTGCAGTACAAAGCTCAATAAATTTATCTGCTACTATTTAAAATGATAGCCATTTATATCCCCTTTATCTTTGTTCTGACAGTAGGCATGCCATTAAGGGTGTGTACATAACACAGCATTGGAGAGAGAAACTCTCAGAATCTCAGGATGATCATTTCACAGGTAAAAAAGAAGCCAGTTTTCTCCAGGGTGAAGAGCTATTTGGTTTCTCTGTGATGCAGAAAGCTCCAAAATGCTTTTGGACAAGAGCTGCAGGTATCCCAGATGTTTACGGGCACATCCTTAAATACAGGAAGGTATGTGTGACACAAAACCAAGAGATTTGTTAGGAGACAACTCAGTCTTCTGAATCCCTACACTACTGCAACCCTTTTGAAAATCAAAGGCAGCTGTTGACCAAACTAAAGATCCAGCTTTCCTTGGTTTTGAACACAGAATAAACTCCACCTCTTCCTAGATACTTAGCCAATCAGATAACAATGAAACAAACAGAAGTGGCCCTTAAGGTGTTATCCCTTACAATATTTAGGGGTTTATCCTGCCTTTAGTTAGACCATAAAGTCGTTTTCCACTTCACTCTTCCTCTGAAGCACCTGTTTTGCAAAGACCTTTCTTAATTTGACAACTGCCAACTGTATCCTAGAATCCCAGGTAAACTGTTAAAAAAAGGTGAGGTAAACAGTCACCATAAAGGACTATGAGAGCACAGAGTGACTACAGGTATGTCAGAAGGGCAGGAGAACACCCACTAAAAAACAATCAGAAGGTAAGAAGGGAGCTTCCCTCAAGAGGAATCACACAACTAGTCTTTTTACTGATTAGTTCCTGTGCTGTGGAAGTTGCCAATCACAGAAAAAAAGGAAAAAAAAAAGCAATAGATAAATGAGAACCAAGAATTCCCACCAGGAGGAAGAACTCACAGGCTTGTGTGTTACACTGTACCACTGACAGGAGTCCTTAGTCTTGCCTGAGCAGGGAGCTGCCACTTCAGCAGGCTTCCAACACTCTGACAGCTGACCTAGGGAAGACATTAATGCATCAGCAAGATCCAGACAGGATGAAGTAACATGGCCTGCAAGACTCTTCCAAATGAGGTATCTTTTGCCCACAACAGCCTGACAGGAAAAGCACTGACAGAAATGTGCCAGCTAACTTGCACAGTCAAAGTGATGCTGGGCAGTCCTCGTTATGAACTTCTCACCTCTTCCCTTCCTGATACAGTAGATACCCAAGAAGGAATCCCACCTGTCTGGTATCTTGGCCCTTCTGTCTTTAACAGTGCAAAGAATTCACCACTGGCCTGCAGGCCTCCTCAATTTCAGTCATAATTTCTCTTCCCACAGAACAGAGGTCATTCTTCCATTTCTCCTTGTTGGCATGTGCAAGAACTCCCCTCCAATACTTCAAATGTTTTCATATTAATAATGAATATGTTTTCCTGTTCATAAAAACCAAATGTAGCAGGAAAATAGGAAGATTACACACCCCTTTTTTAAATGACCAGGCAGTCTTCCCTGGCCCTAAGTTTATCCCAGAAAACCATTGCTCAAATAATGCACAGGTGAAGGTCAAAGAGCTCAGAATCACTAGTGTGTCTGACTTGGCAGCTAACAAGAACAATTTTGTGAAAGGAAATACAATTGTAGCAAAAATGGAGGATTTCATTGTTCATACAACTTAAAATATTCATTGTCAGTGGATATCAGGTTCTGTTTTTGCAGGAGTCTGAGACTCCAACCACTCTAACCTTCAGGCATTTTTCTACATTCCTCCCTTTTGTATAGGGAATACAGGAAGAAAGTGTTAGAAACCATCAGAATACTTGGCTTACTCTAAATAGGTGACAGTGAATATCAAACAGACCCTTCATGGCTTCCACTGCCAAGAGAAACACTGTGCAAACACAGCCTGGCCTCATCTTTAACAAACCAGGGCTGTGACAATCAGGTGAAAGAGCCCAAAAAGCCAACGGTACAATGGCAGCAGCACAGCACCAAGATGACTGTTGATAGTCAATCTGCCTTTCATCAGGCAGCAGCAGCATTCAAAGAGGAAGACAACGTGGTCTTTATCAACACCACCTTCCCCTCGTGTGCACGTGACTGCTGAGAGGTCCATCTCCAGAAGACAGAGGCAGAACCAGGTTCCAAACTCTGGCCTGCCCATCGTTATTCCTCTCTCCCCAAAAGGAATGTGTAATGAGAAGCTCACTGTCACAGCAGCAGACCAGCACTTCTGGGCTCTTCAGAACCACCAGTGCTTCCTCCCTGTCTTCTGCTGGCCGGTGGTATCGCCCATGCACAGGTAAGACCCCTCTGAAGCAGTGAGAGCACCAAGGGTCAGGCTCCAGGTACAGGAGAACCAGAAGATCTGTGGCCAAGTATTCAGGAGCCTCCACATCAACGACATCAGGAATTAACACTGCCTGCAAGGGGAGAAAGACACAGATCCAAATCAACACAAGGGAGGGATGTGGGGGGAAAAAAATATTAGCTTAGAATCAGAATGTTAGCACATCTCTGTACCCAAAATGCAGAGCAGACTGGAAAGCAACACAGGAAGGTGGGATGAAAACCAAGTGGATGTGCAGAACGCTTGCACGGAGCCAGCCACCACCTCTTTGAGGGGGTTTAACCTTATCTTCTCAACAGCTTTTACCAGAGTTGCTCCTCTGAGCTGCTGTGGCTCCCCAGCAGGCACACCCAGATGTGGCAACAGCAGCACCACACACGACACCCTGCACTGGGCAACGCTGATCATGCTGAGAGATACAAGGAGATGTCACGAAGAGGATACTGTGTGGCATCTCCTCCCAGGAAAAGGAGTCAATCACCTTGGTTCCAGACAGATAATGACCAGAAATCACAACTTCCTGAGCATACTCATCTGAGTAACTGCCAGATGTTCGTGTGGGGTGGTTACCTTGGTGGAGTTGTGCTGCTGCAGCGACGCCAGCTCGTAGGGATCCACGTAGATTCCTCGTGGAAGACGAGTTCTAGCTGCCACAGCACACCCTCCTGCATCCTCCCCCACTACTCCCAGCTCCACCTTCACCAGCAGGTCCCTTCAAACAAGCAACAGAAGCAAAAGCTTGACAACCACACTTCAAAAGGTAGCAGAGACCCCCTGAGAGACGTGCTCTGGAGTGCACAGAGGTGAGCAGCAGCTCTCACATACCGTGTGCAGCACTTCAAACAACAGCTCCCTGTCGAGCCACGGGTAGGATGATGGAGTTCACCCCAACCCCACATCCGTGGCCACAGTGAAAGTTTCACTTCTTTGTTAACTCCTCAGAACGACCAACGGCCTCCACACAGATCTTAGAAAGGAGCCGCCTGTTCTTCCTCCACGCTATAGTGTCACTGTTAATTACTCAATCATGCTAATAAATGCCTGTGTCTAGCCCTACCCACAAAAGATCACAGCTCAGCGAGCTGATACAACACTGCACAAATGAGAAGCTTCTTCAGATGTAAAATTACACAACACATCACTCTGACACAGTGCCAGGGCGAGACCTTACCTGTGCAGCCCCTCTTTCAGAAGCTCCTGCGTGACACCAGCATCCTGACAAGCAGCCTGCACGTCTAAGACAACACGGAACGAAGGAGCAAAGGTGTTCACAGAGCAGCACGGGCAGACAACTTCAACAACCGCCTCATGTCGGTGCAAGGGGAGCCCAGCC